TAGGGTGAAACAGATCACCAGCCCAGGTTGGATGCATGAGACAAGTGCTCGGGCCTGGTGCACTGGGAAGACCCAGAGGGATTGGGTAGAGAGGGAGGTGGGAGGGAGGATCAGGATGGGGAATACATGTAACTCCATGGCTGATTCATGTCATTGTATGACAAAACCCACTGCAATGTTGTGGAATAATTAGCCTCCAACTAATAAAAATAAATGAAAAAAGAAAAAAGAAAAATGAATGAAAAGAAATGAGTACAGCATCAGAAACTTCTGGGACAACATTAAACACATCTGTATTCACATTATAGAGGTTCCAGAAGAAGAAGAGAAAGAAATAGTTGAAGAGATTATAGCCAAAAACTTCACTAACATGGGAAAAGAAACAGTCACCCAAGTCCAGAAAGGACAGAGAGCCCCATACAGGATAAAGCCAAGGAGGAACATGCCAAGACACATATTAATCAAGCTGACATAAATTAAAAGCAAGGAACAAATATTAAAAGCAACAGAGGAAAAGCAAGAACCTGAAACTATCACAACATTGTAAATCAATGATATCCCCCCAAAATTTAAAAAAGAAAATGAAAAAACAATTCCCAGAATGGGAGAATTTATTTACTACCACAACAACCAACATGGATTTAATGTTCAAAATATACAAACACCACATGCAGCTCAATTAAAAAAAAAAATTAGGCAGATATCCATGTATCCACTTGTTTGTAGATTCTTCTCCCATATAGGTCATTACAAAGTAATGAGTAGAGTTCCCTGAGGTATATAGTTGATCATTATCAATTATCTACTTTACCTTTAGTAGTATGTATATGCCAGTCCCAATCTTCCAAATTATACACCCCAACTTATCCTGTGAGAACCATAAACTTGTTTTCTACATCTGCAATTCTATTTCTGTTTTGTAGATAAGTTCATTTGATTCCTACTTTTAGATTCCACACATAAATTATTTCATATATTTGTATTACTGTCTGACTTACTTCACTCTGTACAACTGAAATTAACATAATATTGTAAATCAACTACACTCCAATAAAATTTATTTTAATTGAAACAAAAGATAGATAAAAATGAAATAAAAAGGGCAGAAGATCTAAAAGAAGACATACAGATGGCCAAAATGCACGTGAAAAGATGCTAAACATCACTGAATACTAGAGAATTGTGAATCAAGCCTACAATGAGTTATCACATAACACTAGTTAGAATGGCCATCATTAAAAAGTCTACAAACAATAAATGCTGGCGAGAATGTGGAGAAAAGGGAACCCTTCTACACTGGCAATAGGAACGTAAATTGGTACAGCCACAATGGAGAACAGTGTGGAAGTCCTTTATAAAACTAAAAATAGTTAACAATCATACAATTCTGCAATTCCATTCCTGGGCATATATCCAGAGAAAATTGTAATTTGAAAAGATACATGCACCCCAATGTTCACTGTAGGACTACTTAATAGCTAAGACATGGAACCTAAATGTCCACTGACAGAGGAATGGATCAAGAATCTGAGATATATACATATATAATAAGTTGTTACTCATCCAAAGATGGAGTCAGATAATGCTATTTGTAGCAACACAGATGAAACTAGAGACTGTCACACTGAGTGAGGTAAGTCAAATAACATGTGACATCGCTTATATGTGGAATCTTAAAAAAAATAAGTGACTTCCCTGATAGCTCAGTTGGTAAAGAATCCACCTGCAATGCAGGAAACTCCAGTTGGATTCCTGGGTCGAGAAGATCCACTGGAGAAGGGATAGGCTATCCACTCCAGTATTCTCAGGCTTCCCTTGTGACTCAGCTGGTAAAAAAATCCACTTGCAATGTGAGAGACCTGGGTTTGATCCCTGGGTTAGGAAGACCCCCTGGAGAAGGGAAAGGATACCCACCCCAGTATTCTAGCCTAGAGAATTCTGTAGGACTGTATAGGACTGTATAGTCCATGGGGTTGCAAAGAGTCTGACAGGATTGAGCAACTTTCACTTTCACTTTCAAAAATGATACAAATAAATTCATTTAGAAAACAGAAACATAGTAACAGCCTTAGAGAACAATCATGATGGGGAGGGAAGAATTGAGGGGCAGATAGATTGGGAGTTTGGGATTGACAGGTTCACATTGCTACAGTTAAAATAGATAACAAATAAGGAACTACTATATAGCACAGGGAACTCTACTCAATATTTTGTAATAATTTAAATGGTTAAATAATTTGAAGAAGAATAGATACATGTATATGTATCACTGAATCACCTTGCTGTGCACCTAAAATTTATACAATGCTGTTAATCAACTATGCTCCATTATAAGAGAAAATTGTTTAAAAAAACTTTAAAAATGTGATAATACTGTATAATGTTATATGAATAATTGACATAACATTTGAAATTTTCCATCAGGACAATGTATATATTATTTCCTTAATAAAATGTAATACGTGATTAAAAAAAAAAAAAAAAAACAGTATGGTACCAGTAGAAAGCCAAACACACAGATCAAGGATGTAGAATTTAGAGCCCACAAATAATACACAACAATGGAGCAAAAAATACAATGGAGAAATAATAGTCTCTTCAGTACAATAAATGGTGTTGGGAAAACTGGATAGACACATGAAAAAGAACAAACCTAGAACACTATCTTACATGATACACAAAAACTAACTCAAAGTGAATTACTTAATGTGAGACCTGAAACCACAGAATTCCTAAAAGAAACTTTAGGCAGTAGCCTGACAAACCAGTAACAGCAATGTTTCTGTGGATTCGACTCCAAACGCAAAGGAAACAAAGGCAAAAATAAACAAACAAGACTATACTAAACTAAAAAGCTTCAAAACAATGAATGAAAACATCATCAAAGCAAAAGGGTTACTTACTGAATGGTAAAAGGCATTTTCAAATCTTATATATGATAAGGGGTTAATATCCCCCCCAATTAAAAAAAAAAACAATGAAATCATACAACTCAACAGCAAAGAAACAAACAACATGACTGAAAAATGGACAAAAGAACTGAATAGACATTTTTCCAAAGAAGACACACAGAAGACCCACAGGCACATGGAAAGATGATCAACATCACTATTTAAAAGGGAAATGTGAAAGAAAGCCACAATGACTTATCACCTCATAACTGTTAGTATGTGCATGTGTGTCTGTGTGTGTGTTCAGTAGCTCAGTGGTATCTGACTCTTAGCAACCCCATGGACTGTAGCCAACCAGGCTCCTCTGCCCATGGAATTTTCCAGGCAATAATACTGGAGTGGGTTTCCCTTGCTTACTCCAGGTACTAGTATAGATATTATAAAAAAAGACAAGGAATAACAAATGTTGGAAAAGATGGAGAGAAGAGGGAACCCTTGTACTTGATTGGTGGGAATATAAATTGGTGTAGTATGTAAAACAGTATAGAGAGTCCTCAAAAAATTAAGGATAGGACTACCATACAATCCAATTATTCCACTTTTGGATATGCATCCAAATGACACAAAAACACTAATTTGAAAAAAAATATATATATATCCTTATATTCATTTCAGTATGATTAACAACAGCCAAGATATGGAAACAACCTAAGTGTTCATTGATGGATAAATGGATAAAGAAGGTATGGTATAGAGGCGGTCCTAAGATGGCAGAGGAATAGGATGGGGAAAGCATTTTCTCCCCCCACAGATTCATTGAAAAAACATTTGAACGCTGAGCAAATTCCAGAAAACAACTTCTGAATGCTGGAAGAGGAAATTAGGCACCCAGAAAGGCAGCTCATTGTCTTTGAAAGGAGGTATGATGAAATATAAAAGATAAAAAGAGAGGCAAAAGAGGTAAGGACGGAGATCTGTCCCTGGAAGGGAGTCTTAAAAGAGGAGACGTTTTCAAACACCAGGAAATGCTCTCACCGGCGGGTCTACGGGGAGTTTTGGACCCTCAGAGGGCAACATAACTGGGAGGAAAAATAAAGAAAGAAACAGATAAACCCCACAGATTACATGCCTAACTGCAACTCCCAGCAATTGCATCTGCCACCAGCAAGCAGGGGCTGAACAGGGAGGTATGGGCTGCATTGCTTAGGGTAAGGCCTGAATGCCCTGAGGGCAATCTGAGGGAATTAACATGAGATAGCAACCCAAGTTGTGGGATAGCCAGAGAGAGAGAAAGAGAGGGAGACAGAGAGAGAGCTATCCCATGAAAGACCTAACCTAAGGCACTGTGGGGCCGCTCACAGAACAACAGACTGAGCAAATACCACAGGAGAGCTAGCCGGCTGCAGACGGGCCCATCAACCACCAGAGACAGGGAGGCAGGCGGGGGCAGACAAATAGAAAGGGAAATCTCAGCCCCAGAGAGGCATCCTCTACCAAACTGCAAGGAGGCTCCCACTGCCTAACCAAGACTTCCTGGGATTCCGGATGGTTGACATCCGCTGGGAGGGTTGCAGCCAGAGCTCACTCCCCAGGAGAGACACACGGCACACCTGAGACAGGGGCACCTGCTGACACCCAGGAAACCGAGCAGCTGGGACCGGGGAGGTGATAAGATGCACTCCCCACCTGGGGAAACTGCAGTCACGAAGCACCTGGTCGCCTGAACTGCTTGGACCTGGAGAGGGCACAAAACCCAGGCTCAACCAAGTCTAAGCCACTGTGGAGTATCCCAGAAACTGATCCTGAGCGGCTTAGACCTGGGAAGTGCAGGCAACCCAGGGCCCGCCTCAGACAGTTCCCTGGAAGAGTAACCTAGAGCCTGAGAAGTATAGACTGGGAAAGCGCACGTGCTGTGAGCAGGGGCAAACCAGTGTGGTCAAGACACTGTGAGCACTCCCCACACACAATAGTGATAAATTGTTTGCAGTGTTCCTCCCTCCCCACAGCACAACTGAACGAGTGAGCCTAATTAAGTGACCACCTTCGCCTCCTTGTGTCAGGGCAGAAATTAGACACTGAAGAGACCTGCAAACAAAAGAAGCTAAAATAAACAGAGGGAACAGCTTTGGAAGTGACAGGTGCAACAGATTAAAATGCTGTAGTTAGCACCGACTACATTGGAAGGGGGCTAGAGATCTTGAGAAATTGATGCTTTTGAACTGTGGTGTTGGAGAAGACTCTTGAGAGTCCCTTGGACTGCAAGGAGATCCAACCAGTCCATCCTAAAGGAGATCTAAAGCCTTTGACAAAATTCAACATCCATTTATGATTAAAACTCTCCAGAAAGCAGGAATAGAATTAAATATAAAATTTACTTAGTATATTCAGCATGAAACTCTTCTTTATCTTTGAAACAAAAGTAAAAATATTATGAATATTTTCTACTTCATTAAAAAAGCACTAAAATGTAAAAAAAAAAAATTTAAAAAAAAGATTATACATTGTGACCAAGAGGGATTTACCCCAACAATGCAAGATTTGTTGAACATTTGAAAATTGATTAACAAATCACATTCATCAGATAAAAAATACATGATCATCAGCATTTGAAACAATTCAACATCCATTCATAATAAAAGTTATTAATAAATTTAGAAGGAAACTGTGCCAAACTTATAAAAGAGAAATGGTTAAAGACTAAATGTTTTCTCAAACTGGAAAAAAGATGGGGATATCTACTCTTAACTCTTCCATTTACCATAGCACAGGAAGGGCTAGCCAGTGAAATTCAGCAAGAAATAGAAGTGAAAGTTATCTGGATTATAAAGGAAGAAGTAAAATCATTTTTTTACAAATTTCACAGTTGTATATACACAGGAATATCCCAAGGAATCTACCATATAAAAACTATCAGAGCTAACATATGAGTTCAACATAAAAAAAAAAATCAACATAAAAAGAAACAAGACCAATATCCGAAAACCAGCTGTATTTCTATATAAGAATAATGGACAACATGAAAATAAAATGAATAATGCAACTATATTTAAACTAGCATCAAAAAGAGAGAAATATTTAGAAACTAATTTACCAAAAGGACCACACGACTAACACGACTAACACACTGAAAACTACCAAACTTTGTTACAAGAACTTAACGAGATCTACTTAAACTGAGATTGGATTGAAAAACTGTTAGGGACTGAAGGTTTGTGTTCCCCCCGAAATTGTTATCGTCAACTCCTAACCCTCAGAGTAACAGTATTAGAAAGGGGGGGGGGCGGCTTTGGAATGCTTTTAAGTCATGAAGGTGGAGCTTTCAGGAATGGGATTAGTGTCCATAATTAAAGAGATTCCAGAGAACTCTTTCTTTTCACCACAGTCAGATAGGTATCTATGAATCAGGAAGTGGGCCCTCACCAGACAACCCATCTACAAGCACCTTGATCTTGGACATATCAGCCTCTAGAAATGTGAGAAAGTATGTGCTTGCTCTTTAAGACACCGAGAATATAACATTTTTATTATAGGAATGCAAACTAATTATGACAGAAATTGGTAAGAAGAGTCAGATGTTATTGCAACAAACATATAAAAGTATGGAAGTTGCTTAGGAACTGGGTCACGCACAGAGGTTGGAAGAGTTTCTCAAAAAGCTCAATAGAAATTTACTAATTCATTACATGATATAGCAATTCTTCTCCTAGGTACCAACATCTGCTTCATTGACTATGCTAAAGACTTTGACAGTGTGGATCACAATGAACTGTGGAAAATTCTTAAAGAGATGGGAATAACAGACCACCTTACCTGCCTCCTGAAAAATCTGTACTCTGGTCAAGAAGTAACAGTTAGAAATAGATATGGAACCATGAACTGGTTCAAAGATGGGAAAGGAGTACATCAAGGCTATATATTGTCACCATGCTTATTTAACATATATGAAGAGTGCATCATGTAAAATGCCGGGCTAGATGAAGCACAAGCTGGAGTCAAGATTGCCAGGAGAAATGTCAATAACTTCAGGTATGCAGATGACACCACCATTATTGCAGAAAGCAAAGAAGAACTAAAAAGCCTCTTGATGAAGGTAAAAGAGGAGAGTGAAAAATCTGGCTTAAAACTTGACATTCAGAAAACTAAGATCATGGCATCCAGTCCCATCACTTCATGGCAAATAGATGGGGAAAAAATGGAAACTCAGAAACTTTAGTTTATGTTCCTCCAAAATCACTACAGACAGTGACTGCACCTAGGAATTTAAAAGATGCTTCCTCCTTGGAAGAAAAGCTATGACCAACCTAAACCACATATTAAAAAGCAGAGACATTATTTTGTTGACAAAGGTCCATATAGTCAAACCTATGGTTTTTCCAGTAATCACATAGGGATGTGAGAAGTTGACCATAAAGAAGGCTGAACACCAATGAATTCATGCTTTTGAACTGTGATGTTGGAAAAGACTTGAGAGTGCCTTGGACTGCAAGGGGATCCAACCAGTCCATCCTAAAGGAAATCAGTCCTGAATATTCATTGGAAATACTGACACTGAAGCTGAAACTCCAGTTCTCTGGCAATCTGATGCGAAGAACTGACTTATTGACAAAGACCCTGATGCTGGGAAATATTGAAGGCAGGAGGAAAAGGGGAAGACAGAGGATGAGATGGCAGGATGGCATCACTGACTTGATGAACATGAGTTTGGGCAAGCTCGTAGAGTTGGTGATGGACAGGGAAGCCTGGCGTGCTGCAGTCCATGGGATCACAAAGAGTTGGACATGACTAAGCAACTGAACTGAACTGACAAAAAAAAAAAAAAAAACTATAAATAAAAATGCAAAAACACACTTATGAATAATCAACAGGACATTGAGTAAATCAAAGAAGAAATCCAAAAATACCTAGAAACAACTGAAAATGAAAACACACTAACTTAAAACCTATGGGAAACAGCAAAAGCAGTGCTAAGAGGGAAGTTTATAGCAATACAAGCCTACCTCAAGAAACAAGACAAACAACAAATAAACAATCTAACTTTACACATAAAGCAACTATAAAAAGAAAAAAGAAAGAAAAGCCCAAAAGTGAATAAAAGGAAAGAAATCATAAACATCAGAGCAGAAATAAATGAAAAATGAAATGAAGGAGAAAATACCACAGATCAATAAAACTAAAACCAGATACTTAAAACAAACAAACCATTAGTCAGACTCATAAAAAAGGGGGAGAAGGTTAAAATCAATAAAATTAGAAATGAAAAATGAGAAATTACAACAGAAAATGCAGAAATACAGAGTCATAAGAGACTACTATGAGCAACAATATTTCAAAAAAAAAGGACAAACTGGAAGAAATGGACAACTTTTTAGAAAAATATAATCTTCCAAAACTGAACTGGGAAGAAAAGAAAGAGAAAATATGAACAGACCAATTAAAAGAATCAAAATTGAAACTGTAATTAAAAAAATATATCTTCCAACAAACAAAAGCCCAGGACCAGATATGCCTTCACATGTAAATCCTACCAAAAATTTAAAGAAGAGTTAACACCTATTCTGCTTAACCTCTTCCAGATAATTGCAGAGGAAGGAAAACTCCCAAACCCATTCTATAAGGCCACCATCACCCAGATATCAAAACCAGACAAAGATATCATATAAAAAGAAAATTACAAGCTAATATCACTGGTGAACATAGATGCAAAAATCATCAAAAAAATTCTAGCAAAGAGAATCCAACAATACATTAAAAGAATCATACATCATGATCAAACGGGTCTGATCACAGGGATGGAATGATTCTTCAATATATGCAAAACAATTGATGTGATACACAGAATTAATAAAATGAAAGATAAAAACCATATGATTATCTCAGTAGATGCAGAGAAAGCTTTTGACAAAATTCACTACCCACTTATGATATAAACTCTCCAGAAAGTAGGAAAAGAAGGAGCATACCTCAATATAGTAAAGGCCATAACTAAAGAAACAAAGGACCTATATATAGAAAACTATAAAACACTGATGAAAGAAATCAAAGATGACACAAATAGATGGAGAAATATACCATGTTCATGGGTTGGAAGAATCAGTATAGTGAAAATGAGTATACTACCCAAAGGAATCTATAGATTCAATGCAATCCCTATCAAGCTACCAACTGCATTTTTTAGAGAACTAGAACAAATAATTCACAGTTTGTATGGAAATACAAAAAAACCTCAAATAGCCAAAGCAATCTGGAGAAGGAAGAATGGAACTGGTGGAATCAACCTGCCTGACTTCAGACTATACTACAAAGCAACAGTCATTAAGACAGTATGGTACTGGCACAAAGACAGAAACTTAGATCAATGGAACAAAATAGAAAGCCCAGAGATAAATCCATGCACCTGTGGACACCTTATCTTTGACAAAGGAGGCAAGAATATACAATGGAGAAAAGAACCTATTTAACAAGTGGTGCTGGGAAAACTGGTCAACCACTGCACTGGGACGACCCTGAGGGATAAGATGGGGAGGGAGGTAGGAGGGGGGGTCCAGGATGGGGGGACACATGTACACCCATGGCTGGTTCATGTCAATGTATGGCAAAAATCACTAAAATATTGTGAAGTAATTAGCCTCCAATTAAAATAAATAAATTAGTTTCTTAAAAAGTATTACACAAACTAAGGATAAAAATATTTAAATAAAAGAAATATAAGTGTTCTCTTTAAAAAATAGATAGTTT